AAATGTGTCAACAAACCTCGCCTACAAAAAGTGGTGTGCCCTACAACCCCAAGAATCCCCCAGCCAGAAGTGGGGAATTCTGGGAGTTGAAGTCCACTCATCTTAAAGTAGCCAAGTTTGGACAACACTGGCCTAGAAAGTCTATCAAAATTCTACAAAACAGCAAGTCTATTATTATTGTGAATATGGTTTCCCAACAACAAACTATATATGAACTGTATAAAATATCATGCTACCCTCTAAAGCAAACACAAGCAACTATCTTTTTAATATCTAATCATTATTTGCATTTGGTTGTTAATAATCTCCTCTTTCAGACTAATCATCAGATTGTTGCATAACCAATAAGCAATCTAACAGAAACGGAACAAAATCAGATAATCTATATTCCAGAAACAATATGACTGAATTTCAGAGAAGAAAGTTTTTAAAAGGTGCAACCTCATGAATTATTTAAGTTGTATCTTTCCTCCTTTTTCTTCCTTTCTTTTTGACATTAGAAAAGGAATTCCCATAAATAACAAAACTTTTCCCAGGATGTCTTATAATCCATCTCACAAAAACCATTTAAAAACTGGTACCTGCAAAACTTACATTAAGGAAACATAAATTAAGCCCTAATGCAACTATACAAACACAAATCAATTTAAACCACATTGTTCAAAGAAATGCTTTCGCCGTTTGTAGTACAGTCAGGCTAAGTAAATCAACGCCGCCTCTTTACGGATTGAGACGGACTTCACCAACTTTAAATAAACGTTGCAACGTCGAAGTATCAAATGATTTAGCGCACAAAAACGGGGGGAACGACTGCAGTGCGTCAGAGACAAAAGCCAGCTCTTAGCCTCACTGCATTGCCATGTAGTCAGGGCGGGGGGAGCGGCGAGGACAGACTTTTCCTGGCACTGCCCCGCTGCATCTTATTGCTCCCAGCGCTCCAGGGAAGTGCTCGGCCACTGTCCTTCAAACGGTGCCATCGGGAGCTGCAGGCGGAGCAGAGCCCCCTACTGTTCCCCCCTCCCCCGTTTCCACTGCCGTGAACTGAGGGCCTTTAACTTTATCTCTTGAGTCACCACAACAATGCCATATACTGAGAAAAACTCTCGCACCCGACATAGCCCGTCCCCCGCCCCGCTCGACAGGAGGAACGTCTCTCCTCACGTACACACCCAAGTCTGGAGAGCGGAAATAGCGTGTGTCCCCAGCCCCGGCGCTGCGCGTCCGAAAGAGGACTTCGCTTTCCACTGACCTCCCAAAACTACGATGCGGAGAACACGCGTCCCCTCCAGAACCCCCGTGTCCTGTGAAGTCTCCTCTCCCCGGCCTCCAACACACACGCGAACTACGGAGGGACAAACTATTAAAGTCACGGGAAGGACAGCAGCCCAAAGCACCCGGCGTCCTACCCTGGTTCCGCTCCTTAACAAGACGGCAGGACAGGAGCCTAAGGAGCGGGGGCTCTAAGTCCCCGCCGATCCCCTCGACCCCTTAGTCCCAACAACGCCGGCTTTCCCACGCCAAGAAAAATCCACGCAATCCAATCCGTGGCAGTACCTTCAGGCGGTCCTCCTGTAGGCGCGGGTCGTTCCAGGTGGTCGTGCGGCTGTTATGATCCACAAAGAAAGGCCACCCGGTCTGGGGGTCTATCTTCACCTCCCAGCCCGGAGGCAGGGGCTCCCGCTCGCCGCCTCCGGCCTCCACCTGCACCCGCGTGGGAGACTGAGCAGCTGCGCTCATGCTGCGCGCAAGAGAGGAGGCGCGGCGCAACGGCTCGAAGAAGTCAACACGGGAAGAAACGCCAGCCGCCGCTCAGGTCATCCACTGGAGAGTTAAGCGAGGCGGCTCTTGCCGGCCGGGCACCTTTATCGAGAGGGAGGAGACACAGAAGTGGGTGGAAGTATCTGGAAATAGCAGCTCCGCGCCAAAGAGGAGGGGAAGGTGGAGGAGGCGGAGGAGGAGAGACGCGGGGCAGCTCCCCGGCTGGAAACTTCTGGGCGCCTCCAGCGCCTTTGGGTAGCCGGGGCGGGAGCTCCTCGTTTGAGTCACTCTTCCTCGCTGTCACTATTCAGCAGTATGTCAATTAGGACCAACGGGGCCTTCGCTCCGCCTGCTGGGCGGCGAGTTGAAATCGTGCTCATTCTGAACTCAGTATTTCCCTTAAGTGAGCGCTTTCTGAGATTCAAGGTGGGTTTCTCTACGCTGACCGCGCATTTGTCTCTTACCTTTCTTAACAGGCCTACAGGCCTGAAAAGAAGAGGAAGCCTGCCTCCTTACTGCTTGCTGTTGCTGCTGCTTTTTAAAAATAGTTTGCATTGCAGTTATGGCCTGGCAGCACAGCAATCGATGTGAAGGGATGAAGTAACTTGCAACAAGTGTTTCAGAATACAGTACGTGGCTGCTGCATAGATCCTTAATGCTGCAATCCTAAAAACATTTTCATTGGACTAAACTGAAATGGTGGTATCCATTTTCGGGTATCTTCATTTTCATCAGTGGCATTTGCACTGTGCAAAGTTCTGTACAGACCTTTTTTCAGTTATCTAAACAGCAAATAGCCTACCAACCCATACCAGTACTGTATTATACTGGCCCTACTGAGCAAGGCAATGTTTTTGTTCTTATGTTGCAAAAAAATAAGAAATGCATGTCACAGACTATATTGCCTAGCTCAGATTTTGGGCAAGAAGCCATGATGACTCTGACTCAACAAAACAGCTGCAATAGCATTAGGAAAGGCCATGCCTTAATGAGAAGGAAAATTTGCTTCCTTCTCTAGACAAAGTATTGCATCCTCCATACCCCAAAATAATCAGAGAACGCTGGCATCATAAATCTAAATAATAATTCCCCACTATATCTTTTAGTATTTCCAGGCACTTTTAGACTAGTAGTGAGTGGAACAGTTCCTGTTTCATCTTTCCTTAGTATACCTATTAGAAAATGGAGTAGCCCATCTCAACACTGAATGCAAGGGTCCATCACTCTTGATAATTTACCCAAAAAGTGAACCCCTCTTAAATTTAGGTGTGCAATAAATAATTGGTGTGTGTGTATGTGTTCATAGCTGGTATTTTATGATGTTGCCTTCTTGTCATTCCCAGCCCACTATGGAGGCAGTTTAAAAGATTTATCTGTTTCAGTTTGAAGATATTCTGGCTGTCATACACTCACTTGGGGTCTTGTGCTCTATCCCTTTCGCTGTTCCTGTTGCTCTGTCTCATGGCCTCTCTTGTCACTTTTTGTCTCTTGTTCTCCGCCTTGCTCTGTCTCCCTCCCGCCCACATCATCCCCATTTCCCTCTTTTCTGCCTTTAAACCACCAGCCATGCTATTTTTGGACATGAATTCGGTGATCCTGAAAAGAGTGCTAGAGTGCCTGTTCAGAAATTGCCCAGCTGACAGGTCACAGGTAAGGAAGGCCTTGCCCAGGGCAATGTTCCTTAAATCTCTTCTATGCCTGTAATCTATCAGGCTATTTATGAACACAGGTCTCTTTTCAAAAAACATTAAACCCATGTCCAAAAATACCCCAGCTGACAGGTCACAGATACAGGATGATACAAGAGGGTGTTCTTTCTCTGATTCTGTTTCTCTCTGTCTCTCTGTGTTCTTGGTCTTCTTTCTTTTGGTCTTTCTCTCTTGTGCTCTTGCTTTCTCTGTGCTCTCTCCATAGCACTTCATTCTCTGCCCCTCTTCTCCTCTGACCTGCTTGAACTATTTTTGGACATAGGTTTAGTGCATGATTCGTGATTGTTTTTTTTTTTCCAGCTGGCTGATGACAGTCAAAGTAGGAGAAACGAAGCCAGGGGCATCCACCAATTGCTCTCCTTAACCCATTCTGCATTAGAACGATAAGGACAGTATCATTCCCAGGCTGCATTATTGAGACAGAATAGGATTCAGCAATGAAGGTTAGGCAAAGTATGCTGGCATATTTTTATGCCACAAGGCTGGCTGGGGAATTCTGGGAGTTGAACTCCACACCTCTGAAAGCTGCCAAGGTTGAGAAACACTGAATTAGAGGAAAGAACTCTTATACAGCCATCTGGCTGTGCCTTTAGTATTGTAAGAGAATAAAGGGATGAAAGATACCTATAGATGCAATGATGAGTTCAGCTGCATTATTGCCTAGTTAAGAACGGAGTCTGTTGTGCAAAATCTGAGTTAAATACACAATGATTCAGTTTAAGTACACAATGGTTCGAGTTCATTACACAGTACTACTTATACAGTATTATACGATTATACTGTTCCGGCTTACATACAGATTTGACTTAAGGTCAGACCTTGGGAACAGAACTTGTTCTTAAACTGGGGAGTACCTGTATTTTCATTATATATCCTGTTTTTTCTGGAAATGCAATGCGGGGGGGAAATCAGCAGTCCCAGGGTTACATGTATCCCCCGAACTCTCCTTCAGCTGCCACTAAATTTCAACAAGGCAGTTAACCAAAACTGATCAGCACTGTTTCCTGCCATTTTGAGGTAGGAAACATAGAAAAACTTTAGCATAAGCCTTAAAGATGGGAGTAATGTAATTTTTTAAAACTAAAGGAAAATCTAATCCTTCCCCAAATCTGAGGGATAATGGAAAATCCTAGCCCCTTTACTTGTGGCATGATTCTACTCACACCTTTTGTCTACTTTCCAAATATTAAATCTGCTCAAAAATTATCCATCACTAGATTGCAGTAACAACTTCAAACTATATTATTAAAATCAGAAACCTATAATAATATTAGAACAGTCAAACGGCATCATTTAGGCTAATTTAAACCTGTAAAGAGAGTTTCTTGAAAAATCAGGTTTTTGTTGTAAACTGAATGGAAACAATGATGTAGCACATTAATTTTTCAGATATGATATACTAGAGTTGCAATCCAAAAAGGCTGTGTCAAGATCCTGATCCTTCACATTTCTTAGGATTTGGGGATGGAGTGAGTAGTCCTTGATTGTTAAACAAAGCATCCAAGCAGATTTATATGGCAAATACTCATTAAAGTATCTTAATCCCATTCTATTTTCAGTTTAAAGATTAAGAATAGTACTTTGAACTGGGTCCAGAAGCTAACTGGCAACCTGCCCCACTAGAAGAATATTGGGGTGAAATGTTTGGAATTCCTCCTCACAGACAGTAGTTTAGTTGCTGCATTAGGAACCAGTTGAAGCTTCCAAATACTAAGCAACCCCATATAAAGTATTTTATAATCATCTGGTCTAGATGTACTGTAAGTAGAGCACAAATTACCATGGCTACCGATAAGTTCTCCTGATCACTATGTCAGCTGGATGGCCAGTGCTTCTAGAAGTATTCCCATCCTGTGTGCCTCATTATTAAGAACATCACAATACTTTCCATCTCCAGAAAACCCAATATTCATCTGGCCTAATCATGAATATATTTCTTTTAAAAGCTTTATTCTTTATTCTCGATTTTCAAGATTGATTTGAAAATCTTAGGATTTTCAGCCCACAGGGACCATTACATAAGCTTTTCCAGTATGCAGTTTGCTGTTTATCAAACATTTTCTGCATCTTATCTTAGTATGCCAACACTAAAACAGCTTTCTGAGTTTTGACAGTAGCCATGTGGATGTGTTCATTTGGACACAAAGTATATAGGAGACTGCTCAAAGTCATTTTGCTAGATCTATTTGTCCACTTCACCTTTTAAGTTTGCCTCGAATCATGATACATACCCCAAAGCATTGGTACACACAGGGTTGTGTGCTGAATACTCTATCTTCGTACATACAATTATACAAAAAGTGTCTCCATGTGTAGAAAGTTATTGGATCATTTTGTGTATCACTGTTGTACCCATGTCGCCAGTACTTGAATTTTTAACAACTTGTAATTCTCTGAAAATGTATTCCCCAAGTTTTGACATTTAGTGGGTAAGACATGCAATTCAGCAAAATCCACAACACAATTTCTTTTGTATGCATTCCTAATCAAAACCATGCATTTGTGCCATACTTAAGAAATGCAACTGCAGTATTATGCCTACATCTTTTAAAATAGAACAAGATGGACTAAGAACATGGTTTTGAAATGTCTTATTTAAAAAGAAAATTATACAACAATGTGATAAACCCCACACTCAGGTTGTAAAAAAAGCATTAAAATGTATTTATTAATTTAAATTTATTTAATGCTGAGGCTAAACCCTTTAACACAATGAAACCTTATCACTCTTAACATAGGGAACTTGTATGCTGAGTGTTGTCAGGTCTGAAGCCAAAACAGGGCTATTAAAAAATAAGTGGGAGATATTAGTAGAAACCTAAAGCAGAAAGAAATTTTTTAAATATGTTAGGGAGGAACAGTAGCTTAGGGAGAATTAAGCATGTCAATAACTATAGGATGCTGTCTGCTCAGGGGGAAGAAGACAAGAATCCACACTGTAACTTATTGCAGGTCTCATTCTTATACAGTTATTTATCAACCCTTGCATAATGCACACAAGGCTGCTGATACCCATAAACTATAAATAGCAGCATACAGCAATGATCCATCGGGGTCACTTGGCTTCTACCTACTTGTCATATTTCCACTCCCACTTGGTTATAGTACATGGACAAGTGGTCCCAAACAACTGTGAAATGAGATGAGTGCAAAATCACACTCATGACACAGAATTAATTATTAAAGTAATTGCACTATGTATTTTGCTGAACTGCCAAGGAGCATGTGACGTCAATATACACATGATGAAATGTTAGTATGGGGTGGGGAGGAAGCATATATTTGAACCAAATCTTTCTCCAACATAAGCAAATCAGTGGAGAATAAAAGTCAGCTAAATGTTTAATGCAAGGGAAGGATGCAAAATGCAGTTGGTACAAAATAACAGATGGGAAAATATCTAGGTATATTTTAGCATATAGGAATATTTCCTGAACTGACATGGGGTGCTGGTGCCAAAATGCTGTACTGAGCTGGGAGT